CATTTAGGAAACTTAAGTTCCTCGTACTATTAAGAGTGCGTTTATAATTTGCGTACTGCTTAAGAGTACGTTTATACATAGAGTCTAATGTGGAGGCCCGGCTTATTACACCCTTCTCTACGCACGCCGACGAATATCGCCTGCTTAACGTCGGCACTGAGAACACCATGACATCTCGACATGTCCAATTCAACGAGGGCATATCCCCTTACGGCACAACGTCGGCTCTAAGTCCAAGCCCTATTTTACGCTGGAACAGCTCTAGCCCTCCCCTCCCCCCGCCGCATCTCAGCCACCGTCCGAAACCTGTGACACTCCCGTCAAATCTCCACCCCCACCATATGACACTCCGACACTCAGGACTCTCCTCTCTGCTCCGTCGTCGACTCTACACCCCAGCCACGTGACGTCCCCATCACTCAGGACTCTCCTCCATACTCCCTCGTCAAATCCGCACCCCAGCCATGTGACCCTCCCAACCCCCCCCGCACCTGACATCCCCCCTAAAGACCTTCAGACCCTGATCCGCACCGCCCGTGACCGTGTCGCCCACCCACTCGCCCAATTCTCTGACGACCGCCGTGCCCTCAAGGCCTACACAAGTACCGCCAACTTCCATACTCAGCAACAGGCCAAGCTTCTGCAAGCCTCTACAGCTCGCCACGACCAAGACAGCATCCTTGGTTCTCACAACGACCAGCTACAGCTCCACATCGCCAACCATCCCCGCAACCGAGAGCTTCTCCTCGACGACTCCCTCGATACCACACACATCTCTGATCTCCCGGGCCCTGACAAATACCACCCTAGCCTTACCCACAAGCAACTGTCCGACCAACGTAAATACGATGCCGTCCGTTCTCACATTTACGCTTTATGTGAGGCTGTGCAGAATCGACCCATCACCCCTACCTCCATCAAACAGGTCCTCAGCAGCCCGAAAGCCGATCTCTGGCGCGCAGCCATCGAATCCGAAATGAACAGCCTTCGCAAGACTGGCACTTTCCTCCTTCACGACACGGCCGACCTTCCTGGTGACGTCCTCACGGTGACATCTAAATGGGTCTTCAAAGTCAAGATAGTCAATGGAATTGACGACGAATATAAAGCTCGTCTCGTTGCCCGTGGCTTCACGCAAACCAAGGATATCAACTTAACGGAGACGTATGCGCCCACCTGCACCCATGAATCCCTCCGCACGCTCCTCGCTGTCGCTGCCAACAAAGGCTGGCACACCGAGCAGATGAACGTCAACACCGCCTTCCCTCACGCTGACCTTGATCATCCTATCTTCATGAAACCACCCGCTGGTTCCGACCAAATCGGCATCTCCAAGCCCACCACCTTTAAGCTCAAGAAATCGCTCTACGGTCTCAAGCAATCCGGCAAGCTTTGGTTCTCTTTTATTCAGTCTAAACTCCTTCAGTTTGGTTTCCACAGGCACATACGGGCTGATGTACGTTTGTCATCCGCACACCTTCATACAACTGCACCGTACTGATTTACGTCGACGATCTTATCATATGTGGTTTCACTCCGGCCGACTTTGAACGCTTCAAGACACAACTATTGGAATTCGACTGCTCCGTCCTCGGCAAACCCACCTGGCTCCTCGACTGTCGCATCATCACTAACACTGACTCTACCAGCATCGTCCAAACCTCATACATCAATGAGGCCCTCGAACATTTCGACATCACTTCTGCTCATCCAGTCAACACCCCCCTTCCAACCACCCCTCTCATTGAACATGAAGGCCCTCCATTTGACTGCCTATACCACGAGCTTGTCGGCACCATCCTCTACCTCTCTATCCTCACGCGCATCGATATCACCTTCGCCGTCAACAATCTCTCGCGTTTCCTTTCCAACCCTAGCAAAGACCATTGGCTCGCTGCTTATCGCGTCCTCGACTATTTCCAAACCAACCCCGCACTTGGCCTCACGTATAGTAAAACGCCCCAACCACTCCCCACTGACGCCTACGCTGACTCCGACTATGCCAGCTGTCTCACTACCCGTCGATCTACTACCGGCTACGTCATTCGCGTATGTGGCACACCAGGATCTGGAAAAGTAAGCGCCAAAAGACTGTCAGCACTAGCACTGCTGAAGCCAAGTACTTTGCTGCCAGCAAAGCCGCTAAACACATTCAGTGGCTTTGCAACTTCTTATCCGAACTTGGCTTTACCTCCGATGTCCCTACTGACCTCTACTGCGATAACCAATCCGCCGTACATGTCATCACCAACTCAGGAACACCCAAGCAACTAAAGCACGTCGATATACGCGTTCACCACATTCGTGACCTCCAAGACCAAGGTGATATCGCTACCAAGTACATTAAGACTGCCGATAATATCGCAAACACCTTGACGAAGAACCTTCCTCGACCCGCCCACTCTAAACATATTTCTAACATCTCCGACCCTATTCAACCGTCCCTAGTTGCAGCACTAGCTCACACGTCCGACAACAACAATACATACATTACTAACACGCTCTACCGCGTATGCTACCTCCGATATGCATCCTATCCTCGAACATCGTCTATACCTTCAGGAGAGCTCCACCCGATCGATGCTCACCGCCACCCGCCCTGCCTTTCCACCTCCCCCCTGGCTCCATCTGCACTCTTATCCCTCTAGACACCAGCCCTGCCTTACCCCCCCCCCCCCGCCCCAGCCGTAACATAGCTGCACCCACATGTCTACACATACGCACACAACGTGCACAAACTCCGACTGGTCGACCACCACCTAGATTCCTCCCCCTTCCCTATCGTCTTCCCAGCTCACGTTCGCCCCCCACGTTTTCGGCCACAGACGCCACCACGAACCCTCTAATACTTCTCCAATTCGCTGCCACCGCCCAATAAAGCCGCAGCCCATTGCCCCGCCAACACTTTTTCCCCTCTTCCTTTTACAATTATTCCAGCCTCAATGCAGTCTGAGAAGAGCTAGTCTAGATGTTGCTACCACTACCCTAGTAGAGTACTCAACACATATACACCTATTTATACACACTGTCCTTTCGCTTCCAACTTCAGGAGAGTGTTAAGACGAATTTATAGGACCCCTAAAAACCCTACAAGGCCCAAAATATACTACGGCTTATATTTTGGCCGAATAATTGTAATAATATCTTAAAAGGCACATGGTAATTACTATACAATATAGCTAATATGTAATATGAAAATAAACTTACTTCTTTAGCAAATATATGTTTCAATATATAAATATATACATTGTGAGTAAGTTATACGCTTAGTCAGACTGCTCAACAACAATGTTTATTCACTATGTCATTAAAATAGCCTCGTAGTGTGTGACAGCTCCCTTGTCACACTCCCACTAGTTATCTAAATTATGTTCCCAAGTGATCCTTCTGATAACTTGGTTTCCATCACAACTCGGGTCACGTCCCGTATCATTGACTACATAATTTATGAAGACTCGTCGACTGGGTCCCCAAAATCTGGGTGCTTGACAACCCGACACCCTCCGAGTCCCTCTGAGTCCTTCAGGCCCCAGCCGATGGGTAACCCTAGGTCTGAGACCCCACAAGCCCCAGTCCTTGTGTTACCCTACATCTAACTGGCTAGAGTCAGTCTAACAACCCCCCTCTAAGATAGATAGCATGATACTTCTTGCTACTATCATAGCCCACTGTGACTGAATTTGAACTATACTATATACAACTAAATAAACAGCAAGAGAGACACTTACGTCTCTACCCCCTCGTAGAGAATGTAGTTCTTCATCCTTCACCCCAACAGTATGAGCATTTCACAACTAGCTAGCAAGCACTAAAACTATCGACGCGATGGCAACTCCGATCCATCCGCAGCGATACGCAGTTCTCCCAAGTTCTTCCAAGAAACGCACAACCCCATGGACCATCCGTCGAGGCTGTACAGACACAGGCAAACAGCATTCTAGTCTGCGTATCAACCGTCAACAAGACCTTCGGCTGCCAGTTAACCGTGTCAAAATCCATAAAATCCATGCTGACTTCACGCATGGCTTCTTCCGGCCGCACTGGTTGCTGAAGCAATCATTTCACCGGTCCCACATTGTCAGTAACTGCTTGAAACGCATCACAACTCTTCCGGACATGATCCCACGTGCCCTGCATGCCCCGCCATCCCTACAACCGACGAACCTGGTCTTACAAACGCTTGACACTAGCATGCGCAAACAACACATGTAAATACCGCACTACCCTAAAACCCTCACTTCAACACCAAATATTGAAAGCTTCAAGCCTAAGATCCTCATACCATATGTTCATACATTGTATCATACATACTTGCCATTTTTGAAACAAATAATATTATCCCTAAAAGCCGGTTCTTACGTATTTTCTCGTGCACGTCCTTCAACGAGGGATCGCCTTCCCCCATCAATATATCCACCGAGTCCTGCCTTAGCATACCTTGGTTAGACCATCCGTGATGTTCGCCTCCCCAGCTGCATCCAAATTTAACTCAAGAGGTGTATCAATGTCCATGGCACCATCTGACAACTGTTTGTCAACTACCTCAGCCCCCCCACGCTCACATCGCGTCAAGACCGGAGACTTTGCACTCATAATCCTAATGTACATTACACCAAGCAACCCCCCCCTTGCGCTCTTGTCGGCCTTGCCTAACCACGTCTCCGCCATAGCCCCGAGTGACCCCTCACTCGGTCCAGTAGCAGGCCTACCAGGCCATGCCTTCGCATGTCTTAAAGACTCGCCCAGTACCTCCTTGGCTGCTCGCCAGGGCTGACTGGAGAACGTCAGCGCGTCCTATCTGCACTGGCTGGGGTAGTCTCAATGCCTGCTTCTACTGCAGACATACCCCTGCGCACTGCCTTCTCACTGGGGTGCGCTACAGCCCCGATGACACCACTCCGTGTCATACAGGACACTGTAAGATTCGGTCTAATAAAGGCGATACTAATGCCTTAGAATAAATAAACGCGTAGGTAAATTCTAAATATCGTGTAAATATCAAAGTAAATAAACAAAATGAGACTTTTAGTAAAGTTAGGTATGCCTCATGAAAACAGTAATACCCTGAGGAATTGTGAGGCTGATACATTACCTATATATAAACCTCTCAGTACTGTTTCCGCCAAAGGGATTTTATTTAGTGTTTCGTTGTCGCTCTATTAGAAACTATGGCATGTTTCATTGGGGCGAATCCGAGAGACTCATAAAATCCTATCTATAGAAAAAGAAAGAAAAAAAAAGAAAAAAACTCTTGATGTCCTTAGTTATTATCCTAACCAACAACTTGCCACCATCAAGAATTACCGACTTAGCCTTCATCAGACTGGCACATCTGGTTGGCTGATCGGAGGATCAACTAGGTAACGTTAATAGTCCCTAGAAACCTATATTCGGTTGAGCATCTCGCTACCGAAGTATTCAGATATAAATAAAATCCGAAAGTAAATAAAGT